GGGGGGGGGGGGGGGGGGGGGGGGGGGGGGGGGGGGGGGGGGGGGGGGGGGGGGGGGGGGGGTGGTGCTCACCTGGGTAGGCGGACGTTGACGGTGCCCACCGGGACGATCTCCAGGGATTTGCCCCAAAATTTGTTCTTCCATCTCATGTCTGGGGGACGGCGGCAGGTGAGGATCCGATCCACTCTGTGACCCCATATGTGGCCCCCGCATCCCCACACCCACCTTGCCAGAAGATGAAGTTGTCAGACTCGGCGTGGCAAGCGGAGATGGGGGGGTGATGGCTGACCTGGGGGAGGATAAGGGAGGAGTCGATGCCCCTCCAGCCCCCCCCCACGCTCCTCCCTTCCCACCCAGCCCCACATTACCTGCTCGCTGATGAAGCGGAAGCCGCGGTCGGGCCGCACACACTCGTAGGTCTCACCCAGCACTGGGTTGAAGGGTTTGCTGCCTGCACGGTAGAAGGTGGAGGCGTAGGCAGACACAGCGAAGGCGGCCACATAGACCTGCACAGCCACACCTGGGTCACTGCACTGGGGGTGCCAGGGCAGGCTCATCCCACTTGGGGTGTCCCCTAACCCCACTCATGTCCCTCTATGTCCTCCCTTCCACATCCCTGTAACCCATTTCCCAGCAACCTCGTCTCTCCCCAACCCACGTTCCCCAAATCCACGTCCCTCCACTTTCGCCCCAATCTGTCCCCCCACCTGTGTCCCACCACCCCACATCCCCCCATATCCCCTCAGCTGGTGATCCCCCACACATATCTGCCCCGATCCATGTCCCCCTATGCTCCCCCACCTTACATCCCTCCAACCTATGTCTCTCACCCATGTCCCTCTGTGTCCCCCAACCCACATCCCCCACCCCATGTCCCCCACCAGGCGTTGCCGGGGGTCCCGTGCACGGGCGGCGCGGTCGAGCAGTGTGCTGTACTCCAACTCCTCACACAGGCGCTGCAGGGTGTTGAGGGGCTCATTCAGCTGCACCGGCAGAGCCACGCGGGACAGATCCTTGCCCACACTGCTCCTCAGCAGCCCCCACAGGCTCACATCCCCCGGTGGTGCAGGGGGGGCAGGCAGACGGCTCCGATGCTGTGGTCCTGGCCCCGGCAGCTCCAGCGGGGGCAGCTCCACCAGCCCCCCTAGGCTGTCCATTCCTATGGGACGTGGGGATGTGAACTGGCGTGCACCTGCACCAGCATCCTGTCCCCCCCACCCACCTGTCCTATACCTGTTTGGGGACGTCCAGGCCCCCCCGGCTCGGCCAGGTCCTCATCAATACTGTTGGTAGCCTCGCTGATGCAGGACTCATCGTCTGACGCCTGGGGACGGGCACAGTCGGGTGGGCTGCAGGGGGGGTGGGGGTCACCCAGCGGGGGGGTTGGTGGGAAGGGCACCCGTGGAGGAGGTTGGTTGTGTGGGACAGGATTGGCGGATCCAACATGGGAACAGTATGGGGATGCAGGGACTGAGGGATGGGGAAAGCTGGGGGGGGAAGCCTGGTCCCACTACTATGCTCAGAGAGTGGGGATCCCCCAAAAACCCTGGTTGGGGGGACTGTGGGTAGCTGGAAGAGACAAAGGAACAAGAGAGGACATGGAGGCCTGGGCTGGCTAATGGAGAGGGAGGGAGGGAGAGAACAGAGAGATGAACTGACTGGAGCAGCACCAGCCTGGGGGTCCCATTTGGCTTTGCAGAGCCCTCCCTGCCCACCCCTATCCTAAGATCCCCCACCTCATTCTCAGAGGAGCTGGCAGAGAGGAACACCTCACAGGCATCGAAGAACTCAGTGTGTGAGTCGGCCAGCGAGGCGATGCTGCGCTGCGAGCGCTGCTGCTCCCGGCCCTTGGCAGGCAGCATGTCGGGCTGCAGGGACAGCAGGGCTCAGCATCCACTCCATTGCCCCCCAGCCCCATCTCCTGCCCCACATCACCTCATCGGGGAGTAGTGAGGCAAAGGAGTCCATGGTGGTGTCAGAGGAAATGGAGAGCGAATGGAAGCGCTGCAGCCCATCCCGTGGCTCCAGACCTGGCAGGGGGGCCTGTGGAGGGGCTGAGCTGAGCCAAATCCCCCACAGCATCCTCCCAATCCCATGCAGAGGCTCAGGCATACACAGTGTCACCCAGACCTCCAGCATTTGGACAAAGCCGCAATGACTTGCAGCGCACCCCCAGGACAGGGGCAGCCCCTCCAGCCCTGTGCCCCCTGACCCCAGCACAGCCCCCCCCCCAGGCCCACAGCCCCTCTCACCCCAGTGGGACCAGCACTGCCGGGGCGTGGGGCTGAGCGCCGGCGGTCCAATGCTCGCTGCATGTCCTCTAGGCGAGCCCTCTCAGCTGTCAGTGCTGTCACCACGCTGCTGAGTGAGCCATGCACTGCAGGGACAGGGACGGGCAGTGAGGTTGTGGCATCATGCCCCACCACACAGTCCCCCCTGCTGGGGTTGCCCTCCATCACCCACCTTTCTGTGCCAGCACCCAGAAGCTGCGCTGCAGCTGGCTGTACTCAGGTGGCAGGCTGAAGGGCAGCTGGCCCTGGCTGGGCTCCAGGTAACGTGAAAGGTTGGGGACGGAGCCGTGCAGCCGCCCCACCTGGAGGGGAAAGGGGGCTCAACAAGAGATCCAGCCCCGGGTTCTGCACACACACAGCCTGCACCCGCCTCACCCGTCCGATGGTGTCATCCTTAGCAAAGCTCTGAGTGCACCACATCCTGGTGGTCCTCCGACCCTTCTTGGGCCTCTCCGTGGCAGCTGAGGGCTGTGGGAGGGGGATGGGAGGTGAGAGCGGGGCTGGGGGCTGCAAGGATCGGCCCCACACTCTGGCACTCACCTGGGTGCTGGAGATGAGGGGCGCGGAAGGGATGCGGTGCAGGGACTCGAGGCTCTGCAGCATCTCTGTCAGCTCCTGCAGCTGTGCCTGGCACGCTGACAGCTCTGAGTGGAATCAGAGGTGCTTCGGTCAGGGATGGGGTTGGAGATGATGGAGATGGGGATAATTGGGGTGAAGCCCCTCCCTTTCCTGCTCACCAGCTGAGCAGCGCTCCAGCCCCCCGCTGTCCTTCAGCCATGCATCCACCTTGTCCCTGGAGCTGGCAAGGGCAGACAGGGCAGGGGCACTGCCCGAGGGCAGGATCCGTGTCCATGGACCCTGAAGACAGAAAGGACAGCATCAGGAGCCCCGTTCCCAGACACGGTCCCACACGTCCACCCCAAGATGCCACCGACCTGTGAGGAGGTGGGGGTTTTCCTGGCAGGAGCGAGTGGGTCTGGACTCTCTCCCTGATGATGGGAGCAGAGGCTGCTCACCCAGCTGGCAAAGAGCTCTGCAGATTTGATCTGTGGGACAGATGGTGGGTGTGGGGGAGCGGACAGCCCAGTCCCCTCCAAGCCTCAGCTCCAGCCCACACTGGGTGCCCACAGACCTTGAGGTGGTAGATGTTCTCCTCTGTGTCCAGGTCCACCCGCTGCGCCTTCTTGTTGACGGACATGACAGACTGACGGACATCAATGGCACCGTGCAGCTTGCCCTTGAGGACCTGGGGAGTCCAGGGACCCCCGTCAAAAAGAAGACCCCCTTCCTTATGGGAAAATGGGATCTCCCCCAACCAGATCCCATAGAGAGGCTGCACAGGCCCAGCCCAGCCCCATACTCACATCCTGGCGCGTGGTGGCATATTTCAGGATGCCATTTTCCAGCACAAAGTACCTCTGGGGACAGAGAGAGAGACAGAGGCGAATCCCTACAGCCCCCATTGTAGGGATCTAAACCTGCGCAGGGCTGGGCACGCTGCCCCCAGCACCCCGTTACCTTGTGCCAGCCCTTCAGGGGCCACTTTCTCTTCTTGAGCAGGTAGCCCTCCTGCCGATCCGGCTCCCGGCCTGGGCTGCCCCGAGCTCGTGGCTCCTCCACCACCTCCCAGCTTTCCGAGCCCTATGGAGACAGAGGTCAGTGGGAGAGATCCTGCAACAGCCACCACTTCCAGCTCCCACCTTGTCCCCCAGGGCATCCCTGTATCCCTGTGATTAGAGCAAAGTGAAGCCCCCTGAGACCCCACAACACCCCTAAGCGAGGCTGGATGCAGTTAGGATCCCACTGAGTCCCTCCCCCGACCTGCTGGATGCTGCTGTGCTTGGAAGACACAGTGCTGTTGGAGCGTGACAGGGCCTTTTTGGGAGAAGATGGATCCTTCTCGTGGCTGCCCATGGCCAGTGGGCACAGGAGGGTCCACGCTGAAGGGTCTGAGCTCAGCTGTCACAGTCCAGGAGGTGGGACCCACTGTGGGGAGGGGGAGCCTGGTCAGGGACCCCCGTGCAGAGGTCCCCAGCTGGGGATCCCCCTACTCGCAGCCCTCCATGCCCACAGACACACCGACATCCCCATGGCACAGCCCTGCTGCCCCCCACCAAGGGCAATGGAGGGGTGCCGGGGTGGGGACAAAGCAGAACCCTCCCCTGCACGCCCACCCCCCGCACCTCCCCGCTCCGTGGGTGCCCACGTCCGGGCAGAGCGGTGTCCCCGTGCCTCAGTTTCCCCAGCTGGGGCGGGGGTTCCTCCCGGAGCCGGAAGCTGCGCCCGGTGCCGCCCCGCTCTGCCCCTCCTTACCTCGCCCGTACGGCGGGTCCAGAGTCCGGTCCGCACCCCACGGGCAGCCCGGCGGGTTCCCCTTCTCGCCATCCCCCCCCCCGCCCCCCACGTCGCCTAGCGCTGCCCCGGGAGCCCCTCCGACACCGGGCAGCAGCAGCCGCGGCCCCAAAGCGGAGGAGATGGGGACGGTCCGGGGGTCTCCGCGCTGTCCCGCAGCCCCGATGCCCCTCCGGTAACGGGAAAATCCCCGCGCTGCGCTCAGCCCGACCCCACCTGTCAGCCCCGGAGCGGGGCAGCGGGCCCGGCCCCGGCGGGCAGCAGACGGCCGTTCAACGGGGAGAAGGACCGGAACCCCCCCCCTCGCCCCCTCCCGGTGCTTCCCGGTTGTTCACCTGTGCGGACGGCGGGCTCAGAGCCAGGGCCGGGGCCGGTCGCATCCCGCCCGGCGGCTGCAGGAAGCGGAACACGGAAGGAGGCGGAGGCGCCGGGTCACAGCCGCTCGGTTCTGCCCCCTGCACCGTGGAGGACCGGAGCCGACAGCGCCGGGAGCTCCGAGACCCCGCTGCGGTACCGCCGCCCCAACCTCGCCGGCTGCATCGGAGGCTCCGTGCGTTGGGATCACGTCCGGCCCCGGAGCGCTCAGCCCGCGCCCTCCCCTGCCCCAAACCCTTCCCCGCCCCGAGAAAACGGACTCGTTGGGAGCAACAGAGCCAGAACGCGGCCTCGCCCGGGCTGAGCCCCCCTTGCTCTGCCCCACACTCCGCTGCAGCGCCCCACGGAGCAGGGAAACCCACCCGGGGCTTTGGGGTCTCCTTCCCACCCCACCACAGCTCCTGCCCAGCTGAGGCTCTGCTGTGACAACGGAGAGATGGGGGCAAGGAGAAGGATGCGTTTGAACTCATACTTGAGTATGGAGGAGAACCCCCAGCCCACCCCTCACAGAGATGAGCCAGGCCTCCAGGATCGCTACCACCGTGCAGCCAACTTTAATGGAACAGCCAGCAGCCCCACACACTCAGCTCCATGCTTCGCCATTCAGGAAGAGCTGCAGCACACTCCTGCATGCCACTCCAGTGGCTCTGAGCATTGGATGTCCTCCACACCAGCACTGCCACAGGTCTCTGCCCCCTGCAGTCAGAACCAGAGCTTCCCTGAGCACGTCCCACAGCACCCAAAGCACAGCTGGGACGACCTCATGTGCCACTGGTGCAGGGAACAGAGTAAAGGGATGAGTTGGGCCAGCAGTGCTGCAGAGCTGCGCTGCACTCAGTCCCACTGCTGGTTGCCCACACGTGGCTGAACCTTCAATCCCTGCCCAGCTGGTGAAGGAGCACGACTGGGGGCTGGGGATGAGTGTCACTGTGTCCCCGAGCCCTGGGCAGGCTCTGTCCCTGCTGGGCTCTCTGTCTTGCCAGCCCCAGCCTGGAGCTGGTGGATGTGCCCATCCAGAAGTGCTGTGAGGTGTGCAGCTCCGTGCTGCAGCGTGGAGCATGTCTGGGAGGGCAGGAGTGCCAGGGTGCCCAGTGTCTGCCCCTGTGAGGCCTCCAGTGAGGGCAGCTTGGCAAAGTTCTCCACTCCCTGCCTGCTCAGGATGGTGTCATCAATGCAGGCACCTGAAAGAGAGAGGCAGGCACAGCTGAGGGGCAGCAGTGTGCTGCGAGAACTGAAGTGTTTGTGCTGGAGCTCCTGGCATCGAAGGCTGCCAAGATGCCCACCTGGCTACACGGGCAGGGGACAGCTGCATCCCCACAAGCAGCTCCTCTGCCCCCATCTCCTCCTCACACCTGGGGAACCACCTCAAAGAATCACAGAATATCCTGAGGTTTAAGGGACCCACAAGGATCCACACAGGACCACCCAAAGATCAGACCACATGGCTAAGTCATCTGCTTCCTGAACTTGGTACCATGATCTGGGCAGCTTGGTCCATGCCCACCACCCTCTGGTGAAGAACCTGTTCCAGATCCAACCTCTCCTCCCCCAGCTGCATCATGCAGGAGCCCTGGGCTCTCACCCAGCAGGTTGACCTGTGGCACTCCCTTCAGGACCCGCAACATCTCCTTGGCCTTCGTTTCTGGGCTCACCAGAAGGATATTACGGGACACAAAGAGCGGGAGGAGGTTCTTATAGCGAGACTGGGACAGCACAGGGCGGATGATCTGTGGGAGGCAGCACTCAGTGGTGGGGAAGGAGGCTTGGGGGCTGCAGCAGCGTGAGCCCTGCCCCTTTCCCCACCCCCTACCTCGTTCAGGACAAATTTGACCTCAATATTGTGCTTTCGCAGGTAGTGCCTCATCAGCACCATGTCCTCCCCGGGCACGGAGTTGTATTGACACACCGCGACCATACGGTTGTCCCGGAACACCTCCTCCACCTGCCGCCGGAGCAGCCGGGCGTAGCCATACTCCTGTAGGGAGGAAGCAGCCACGGGAGCTGCGATGGGAGCAGCGATGGGAGCGTCACGGCCCCGCTCCTGGGGGCACCGCTGGGCCTGCGCGGGGCCTACGTGGGGCCTGCAGCGTGTAGCCCTCAGCGCCCCCACAGCTCCTGGGGCGGCCCAGCGTTACCTCCTCCTCCTCCGCCTTCCTCTTGGCAGGCAGGCAGCGCTCAGGGACGGCGGGCCGCGGCGCGATGTACTCGGTAACGGCCATCAGCTTCTGGCGCTGGAAGTGCATGGCCTTCCAGTGCCGGGTGACCGCCTTAGAGCCGCGCCGGACGAGCTGCAGGGCGGGCAGCCAGCCTGCGGGGACAGAGAAGCGCTCAGGAAGGGTAGGGAGGGAGCCGGGCCGCGGAAAGGAGCGCCGGGCCCGCCGCAGTCCCGCACTCACCCCGCCGCCACGGCGCAGGGCCGCTCAGCGCCGCCATCTTTGCCGCGGCGCGCAGAGCCTTATGGGAGGCGGGGCATTTGGTTGCGCGCATGCGCCGGCGTGTTGTAAGTCCCGCCCCTTCCGTTGCACCCCTTCCGGTGCGTCCCGTCTCTTAGCAACCGGCGCTCTGTGGCCTGCTCGCAGGTCGCAGTGGTCTGGGCGGGGCCCGCTGCCCACCAGACCCGGCGCATCCTCCTCCACCACCCCCCGGCCCCTCTGGCCGTCCTGTTCCTGTTCCCCATTTATTCCCCTCCCATTGCTGTCTCTCTCTTTCTGCCTGGCGCCTTTTCCCCTCGCAGAGGCAACATGTCTGCCCCAGCCCTCCCCCATGTCCCCCTGTCCACACAGCACAAGGACCCGAGGAGGGGGCGGGGACTCAGCTCACCAGCTCCCACCGTGGCTGGGGAGGAGGAGGCTCTGCCTGGGGGTGAGCGTGCCATCATAGAGCCTGCTGACTGGGATGCAGGGGGTTGGAGCCACTGCTGAGTAGGGCTGAGCCTGGTTTCTTCTAGGCTGTGAGCAGATGTCCCTGGGGGTGACCCTCACTGACCGCCTCATGGCTGCACGGAGCTTTCCTGGGCTGGGGGAGACCATGAGACCAGAGAGCTGGTGAGAAACTATGGGGAGACCAGCAGGTGGGGGGTGGGCACAACAGGCTCCCTCAGAACACTCCTTTGAACAGCTCCGAGGAGCTGCCAGCCCTCCAGACCATCCGCTTGGACCGGGAGGATATCTGCACCATTGGGAGGCTTGGGAGCCTGCCGGGGATTCATAGCCTCTACCTGCAGCGGGTAAGGTAGCAGGCAGAGCCTGGTCCTATGGGGAACAGTATCCATGGGGGCCAGGATAAACACCCCCAATTCTGCCCCCCAACACTGTCAGAGAAACCTCCAGTTCTCCTTTCCTATGATATAATTTGAGTGAGGTTCTGGCTTTTCTAAACCCAACTGACCAGCCTTAGTTCTGCATGACTCCCATGCAGCCCCCCACGCCCTCTCCATAGAGCTCCTAGAGGAGGTGGTGAACACTGTTGCACACGAAATTGGAATGATTCTGGAGTGCTCCTGAACTCTGATTTTTCCATGCAGTAGAAAATCGTTGTGTGGTGTTTTTTTCCCCAGAACCAAATTGAGAAGATCGAAAACCTGGACTGCTTTCCCAACCTGCAGTGAGTGCCACTAAGGGGATGCATGTGATCAAGGGAGCATTCAAGTTACAGGATGACTTTGCAGTGGTTTGTCACAAGGGTTTGCCATCCTAAGACCAGCAGTGCTGCACAGCTGTCACCCTGGGGACCATAGTGTCCCATTTTCAGAGGGGGCCACAGCTCCTGCCTTTGCCCTCCCTGTGCTCCCCAGGTTCCTCTCGCTGGCTGGAAACTGCATCCGCAAGGTGGAGAACCTGCGGCCCCTGCAACACCTGCGCTTCCTGGACCTGTCCCAGAACCAGATCCAGACTCTGGATGCAGGTGGGGTGGCACCAGCAGAGCCTTGGCCCTATCCCTGCGCTCTGCAGCACTTGGGTCCCAGCAGAGCTCCAGCACAGCCATCCTGGGGCTGGGGCATATGTCTCAGCAGGGCACTGGGAGCCCCACAGATGGCTTTAAGTGAGCCCTTCCCCTAGCAAACCCCAGGTGTCTGCTTCCACCTTGTGTTCTGCTTCAACAGAACGTGGAAAGCAGCTCCCCGGAGCCTCAGGGATCTCAACCTGAACCGCTCCAGCCTTCTTCAACTCAGGAGGTGTTTCCTGCCCCTACTAGGCAGAGATGGTGCAGATAGGCTCACGCTGCCTCATCCTTTTGGGAGGGTCCTCTCCTGGGTGTTTTTTGTCACAAAGAGAATGGATGAAGGGGTATTTCCCTCTGCTCTTCTGCAGTGTTTCTAGTATGCTATCTTCTGTTTGCAAACAGATGTGAGAAAGGGAACAGTGACAGTCTGGGAAAGGGAGAAGCCTCTTTTCTCACTATCAGATTGTATGGAATACATGTCCCCTCCCTCCCTGCCTCAGTTTCCTCACCTTTGAGATGAGAGGCAGCTTCCCACGGCAGGGCTGTGGCCTCAGGAATGCGTGTGAAGCGCTCCAGGAGGCAGCAGCAGCAGGCAGGGTTTGCTGCACGCACGGCTCCACAGAGCAGGTGAGGCTCAGCCCCCTTCTCAGTGCTTTTTTTCCCTTCCTTTGATCTGTGCAGATGAGCTGCCCCGCAGCCTCCGCCTCCTGGACTTGACAGGAAATGAATGCACCCACCAACCCGGCTACAGGTGGGTTGGGGAACCCCCAACGGTGAGCAGAGGGGGAGAGCGAGCCCCCAAAACCCTGTGAGCTCAAGTGTTGTATTCAACACCTCATCCAGACCCAGGAAATCTGAGCCTGCATCTGCCCAGGCGGGGCAGTGGGGGCTGTGGTGCTTCTCCCAGCATGATGCTGTGTGGTGGGGGAATGTCTGCTGTTTGTTTGCTGCTTGCAGGGAGCTGGTGGTGGGAGCCCTGCCCCATCTTCTGCAGTTGG